GCCAAACTATGGCAACATGAAGACGGCAAGCAACATTTTTATTTTTTATGTAAATATTTTTTCAATCATAGCACATTAAATATGACAATATATTAAGTACCATGATCGCCCGGTGGAAATTCATGTTAGTGATATTACCGAAGATGTTGCCCTAAATGACGGATGCAGTTGTGCCGGGCTCGATTGACTCTGAGTTGCGTACCTCCAATTGTACTTACCATGTGTTTGACGGATGTGCTCCATTTTTTCGGACACGTTCCGAGCGGTCGTTTATTTTCACGCAAGTACCACTCACTAGCGTATGACGCCCACCGGTTGTCAGTCAAACTTGCAATATGTCTTACCTATCGGATTTTGCTTTCTTTTGTGAACGCGATAAAATAAGTCGAAGAAACCAGTTCAAGTATAAATAGTCAGACGGTGAGAGTGTATTTCGGCTAAAATATGAGTTAAAAATAACTTACGTGTACACCTGCTCAGAAGAAAATACTTCAGTGTTAAAAATATTAGACTGCTTAAGCAATCGTGTCACATCAATAATGTTACTGGGATATCGCTACTTGTCATAACATAGTCATGCCTGGGTTTTGGATCCAGGACTGCATCTCGGGCAGTTAGTACCCGCTATCTGTTCGCCTTCTGTTCGAAGGTCCTATGAATAGTCGTTTACTTTCTCGTGAATATCTTTCAACGCTTCCCATGTTAGCGATTGTGTTCGTCTGTGTTTCGAAAATCAGAATAAATAGCAAGGTGCACCGGTGGAACTGGTGCGATCATACGTTTTATACAACCTTGTCCAGCGAACGTTTATGGAATTCTATTGCGAACGCTTCTGTAGCTCTGCCAAGCTGATGCTTTCGAAATTCTGTTCTAAGGGACCCTGCTGATAAAAATGTCCACTACATGTCAAAAGTTTCCACTGTTACGCTTTAATTTTAGCGCCAAAATTTTTGCATATCCGCATTGAAGATTTATGTGTGCGCAGCAACTGAATATGCAGGCAGGGAGGAACATTAATCTGAAATTTCAGCCTCCTCGCTTTCCTAGTTTCGGAATTCTTAATTTAGGCACCAAGAATTGTGTCATTACGTGAAATCTAAGTAAGTGGAGAAGCTGAGTTTGAGTTTGCTGCGTCATACACGGACAATGGACATCTTCCTAAAATTTCAGCTCCCTACATTCTGTGTTTCCCAAGTTATTAATTTAGGCGCCAAGACTTTCACGTGATTGTACATGAGGTCTGGGCCACGCGGACGCTGAATCTAAGTTTGTGCGATCACACACGAGTAGGGGGTCTCAAAAAAACTTTAAAATTTCAGATTCATATCTACTCTGGTCCCCGTGTTGAAACTTCAGGATAAAATGCACTCGGAATACGTACATACAGACGGAGACTTGACAAAATGTTTTTTTATACAACTGTTGCTGCAAAAAACACATAAGAGTTAGGTCGCCTCATTGCTTTGATGAAAGAAAAAACAAGTGAGGTCTGGGAACTGCCGAAAAGGCATCAAATTTACGGCCCGCAAACACCGTTGAGATTCTGAGCATAACACTGCTAATAATGTACTGATCGGATGACACTGTATTAATGCACCGAGAAATTGCCTCAGAAAACTTGTTTTGAAGTTCTGCAAACTTTTTATACAATTTTCGTTAATTTGAAGGAATTATAAGATGCGCGGTAAAACGAGGTAAAATTTTACGACTTTCGCAAGTACCATATTTTCCATCTGGTCGGCTCAGTCTCTTCCAACAAATCATTTTTCCGGCTGTCGGTATTGCTGCCGATCAGGAAACCAACAACAATGGTGAGGATTTCTCTGTGGGTATTTTTTATAGAAAGTACGCTATGAACCAATAAAAATTCTGATGAATTTTGCGGTTGTTCGCAGCTTTTGAAAGTTAATGAATTGTAAAATTAAAAGTTAAAATTCTAAGGCCGAAAAGTATTAGAAAAATCGGAATAATTAAACAGTGTTAGAAAATTTGGAAAAGCAGAAATTGTGACATTAAGTGCCGAAATTCGTCTGAATTTAAAAATTATTTTCTTACTATTTGAGATGTTAGCTCAAAAGAGTAGAAGAGTTAGGCCTCCAGAATCTCGGAAGTGAATTTCGACTTTTTAATATTAAGTATAAGTTCGCATCCCCACAATGATGTTTTCATTACAGACATCCTGTGGACAAGAAATGTTGAATTTTTTATGTTGAAGTTAAAAAGTGTAAATATTTTTCAAGAAAAAACTTAACTCGAAATCTAATCTGAACTTTTTAGATGATGCATTGATTAGTGGTATCCTGAATAATTTGCAACTTTCCTGGATAATTGAACGCTGTGGAGGCCTGTACAGTCCGGTGGAATTCGAGTGGTCAGTGCATTTTGCTTAAAACTTCCGGCCAAATCATTTAAGGAAACTAATTAAATTAAAAAAAATTGCAGTTGAAAAGCTTTTTTGCAGGCAGGACACACTAACACCAGGCGAGCAACAGCGGCTTGCGTTCGCTCGAGTAATTTACCAACGACCAGAACTGGTAATCCTGGACGAGTCAACGAGCAGCGTCGGTGTAGATGTTGAGGAACGTATGTACCAGCTGCTCACTGAGGTAATTTTCCACTGTAAAAATGCGAAGACCATTTGCTTACGCTCTCCAAACTCGTGACAAAAAAACCGATCTTACCTTGAATCTTCTTTTGAGTTATTCGTTTCTAAATGTGGGTCAGAAGAGTCATTTTAC